CTCTGCTCTGTTTCTGTAGCTGTGGCCCAGTGCAGTCTTACCTATTTGCCACTGTGGCAGCTATTTCAGAAGTTGAACTTTTAGTATGCTGTTACCAATATGGTATGGTGCTGCCTGGCTTGCAGCTTGTGGAAGGCAGCACCTAATTTCTGAGGGCAGCCCGAGTCTGTCTGCCACTGCTGCCATGATAATTTCAGAGAGTGGGAGCATCTGATAAGAGTGTTCTCTAACTTCATCTTCTGTGTTCTGCTGCCAATGCTGTCATCATGGCCTGACAGCCCAAATGATGAATGTAATGCATCACAAGAATTCTAAAAACAAATGTCTTCGGTCCTAATTACACCTAGTTCTTAATCAGTTAGAATCAGTTCTTCTCATACCATTTTCATTTTGGTATCTGTCTGTCTGAGTTATTTGATCTCAGGGCCTCCACTGTTTATCCTGTTATTCATGTATGTTACTCCTCAAAGGCAGTAAGATTAAGCTGTGTGAAGAAGGGTTGCAGGATCAAGCCATTTGTTCTTTTAAGCTTATGCCAGAGGCTATAGCCTATAAAACAAATCAATCTTAATAGCTGTCTAGAATATCTGGGAGATTGTTTTGTAAATATCTGATCCTTCTGAGTTCATTTTGGTGTTGAGTAGTATTGCTTACTCTCTCGCACCCTAGGCAGGAAACAGCAACAAAGACTGAAGACAGTTTTCAGTGTGACTTGCAGAAATGTATCCCTATCTATAGCATGCTGTAAATTGAATTTGCATAGTCACATTCTTTCCAGACTTGTGATGGGGAAAGTATCAAATTTAGAACAGTTTTTCCACAATATGTTCTGCAGTTTAAAGTTGGTATGAGGTACTCTGTGATTTCCAGAAGTCACAGGGAATGAAGGATAAAATTTTATGCTCAGCTTCAAATGGTTTACTTTTATGAGTTAAATTTGGCTTTGCAAAATTACTAAATTCAGGAAGACTTTTCCTCCCCCTGCTTGTGTTCTTATCCAAGGCTCCAGCTCTTGCACCATTACTGTACCTTTTGTTCCTGTCCAGCATTTTGTCTGGTTTATCTCTGAAGTCTCAAGAGACTGGTTGCTCATCTGAACAAGCAAGCTGCTTTTTGTCCTGGCAGTATTTTAGAGTTCAGATAGCTGGCTTGTCTTTTGGTGAAAGTACCTGTTCATTTGGCAGGTCAGATACAGACTTGAATTTTGTTATTGGAGATCATTTTTTGTTGGTCTTCAGATTTCCAGATTTCCTCTGAAGTTAAAAAATAACTGCTGCACAGCTGCCATAAGAGGTTGGAGGGGGGAGAAAGGGAGAGAGACAAAGAGGCAGAGGCACGTTAGAATGGGTAAAATAAAGAAGAGTTATAGCAGTTCTCACGTACAGCAGTGTTTTCTGGTTGAACTCTTGAGCCAAATGCCAGTAGCTAATCAGATATGTAAAGTTCCAGTTGCAGCAAGACTGCAGCAATCACACTGAATGTACCAATTCCTGAAACTGGGAGTTCTCACAGAAATAGTTGGGAAGATTTGGCGTGGGGCAGGGGAGAAGAAATGCTGTTGCTTGTCCAGTGAAGTGAAAAGTTTCTTATGGCTAGATATTGCTGAGAACATGGAAGAACCTCCATGTTATTCACCATAAGACTTTAAGAATTTACTGCCATCTGGAAGATGCGGGTTAGTGTTTTTCAGCAGTTCTGTTTGTTTCAGTAGGCTAACATTCCTAGCTTAAAATTTCTTGATGCTCTTGAACTAGTTTTAGGAGTATATGCTTTTTTAAGGACTTCTTTAAAAAGGTTTTTGTGTATGTGTGCGGTCAGAATATCTAAATAAACCATCTAACTGTTAAAAGTGTTATTTTTTTAACTGAAGCAGTGATTTTTGCAAAAAAAAAAAACACAAATGTGCCATGATTTTGGAATTACAGATACAATATAGTTCCTACTAAATCTCTACATGTAACCAAAAATCCTATTCAAAATACTACTTCTATATTAGTCTATACCATTCTTCCTTCCCTCCCCCATTTTCTTTTATTACTTTCAGTCATCCTTCCCACATATAGGTGGATGGTGGTAAGTTCTATTCTGTGGCATATTATTTGGGAACCTTATTAAAGGTTTAATACAAGTCCAGCTGTTTTTAAAAGAAGTTCAATTGATACTGATATTGCAGAAGTAGTAGTGCAGCTGATTGTGAAGACAAAATAACCATCAGCTGAGATCAGAAATCACATCTATCTAAGAGCTTACTGTCCGTTTGGTCTTCACTGATTCCCTTTGTAAACTCTGTACTTCAAAGAATGTTTCAAATGGTGTGCATGGAGGTAGCTGAAATTATAGGTCTTGCAAAAAAGAAGACAACAAAACCTTGGGGAGCAGTCAAAACATTAAAGGAAATCTGGAAAACTAGAACAAGAAATAAATGCTGATGGTGCCAAAGGCTGGCATGAACTAAGCTGCGAAATTCTGAACTGGGAAGGGTTTAGTTTTCCCTTTCAGAGACTGGCTTCTGTTAAATAGGTAGGTGTAAAGCTACCTGGCACGTTATTTTTTCCACTCTTATTTCAAAGTAAAGGAGTGGGGTTAAAGAAATACTTAGAAGAGCAGAAGAAAGAAAGGTTCAGCTAGATAGTATCTCCTTCCGTGTTCATGTTTTTAAGATGCTCTTGTTTTGTCAGTAAGGCTATTTGTTCATGATAGTTCTTCTGTACCTGTTCAGCTAGTAACTTTTAAAACACTGAGCCACCTGAGATCTGGAAAGACACTGTGGTAAGGACCTCTCAATGAACTTCAATTTTCTGGTTTGAAAATGTTTTTAATTCTACCCTTTCCATATCTAAACCATTTGAACTGCTGTTTCTGTGTCTATGTCTGTGTTTGAACACTTTCTTTGTTTGTAATTTTAAATAAAAAGTTCTGTGTGATTTTTAAAGAAAATAAAGGAAAAAAATTGTTAAAAGAAAGGATCCCCCTATGATTCAGATGATCTGTATTGATGGTTTTGGAGCAAGTTTTAGAATTTAACAGAGGGCAAAGAGGAATTTTTTTTAATGAAAACTTCAAATTTGGCCAGGTTACAGGTCTCTGAAAATTGTTCATTGCTTTAACCTAGTAGATCTTTGTGAAGAGATTATAAAGCAAAAGTACCTAAAAATTCTTGGAGTCTGTGAAAGGCTGTTTGTGAAGGAGCTTTGTAGGTTGCTGGAGTCTCTTGATCTCCAAGATGAGGGAACTGGAGGCTTTTTCTCTGTTTTCATTTGACCAAAATATGCATATAAGCACAAACTACCCTTATGGACTGCTGACAAGCAAGGAGACAAGAAGAGGAAAAGTTTTTCAGTCTTGGGTTTAAAGGAGGATGGAGGTCCAGGGAAACAGGCAAAGGTTTTAGTTTAATCTAGTGCTTTTCAAATCATGAGCTTTGAGTTTCCAAACTCTCTGTACATAGTCTTGATATATCAAACTTGTTAAGTTGGCTTCACTGGGATAAAAATCTGGGAATCAGATTTTTCGCTTGACTGATTTCCAGATCTGACAAATTGGGGTTTCCTCCAGTTTTTTCAGGGGCTGTCAGATTTGCCTTACAGAACAGACTGTCTCTTACTAACAGCGATGAGTTTTCTTACTGAAATTAAAACTTACTTCAAAAAAAACCAAACAACCCTTCCAAGAAAACAGCAAAAAAAACCTCAACCACCCCCCCCCCAAAAAAAAAAACACACACAAAAAACCAAACAGACAAACAAAAAACATTCCACAAACCAAACACCACAACCAGAAACAACAAAACCACACACCTGGATTCAGATGCTGTTGTGGTTTAAACCCTGTCAGCAAGTCAGCCACTGCAGTCCACTCCTTCTTTCCCCTGCTCCTGGAGGGCTGGGGAGGAGAATCAAAAGAATGTAACTTCTACTGGTTGAGATAAGAACAGTTTAGTAAGGTGTAACACAAACCACTGCTGCTACCACCAATAATAATGATAAAGGAAATAACAAGGGAAGAGAATACAGTTCCACCCACCAAGCGATACCTAGTCTGACCCAGCAGTGAACTAGCACTTCCGGGTAACTCTCAGTTTACATCCTGGGCATGATGTGCTGTGGTATGGAATACCTCTTTGGTTATTTTGGGTCAGGTGTCCTGTCTCTGCTTCCTCCCGGCCTCCCCTCTTCCCTGGCAGAGCATGAGACTCAGAAAGTCCTTGGTCAGACTAAACATTACTGAGCAACAACTAAAAACATCGGTGTTAGCAGCATTGTTCCCAGGCTGAAAATCAAAACCACAGCACTGCACCAAGCTGCTAAGGAGAAAAAATGCTACTACGCAGGAGAGATGTGTATCTTATATTAACAGGTATCCATACCAAAACTGATTTCGAGTTTTTTCTTGGTTCTTCTGGTTCTTAGAATCTTTTTATCTTTTACACATACAAAGGAGAACATATAGAATATGATGGTATTTCTAGGTTTTGGGTGTTGTTTAATAACTGTGAGGTCATCAGTAATGGTTGGGAGGTTTTTTTCCCCCAGTACAGCACCAGCAACCAGAAAAACAGCTCTTAGCATAAGAGGTTGGTTGACACAAAGACCACGCAAATGAGTTGTGGATCTGTTCTGTCATGAAAACTAGTCACAGTTAATTGTGTGTACTCAGTTCAAAGCAGCTTGTATCTATTACTTATCGATGAATAGTTTTTAAACCTCTGAACAATACACAAATCGATTAAAGAACAATTAGCAGTGCATTTTTCAAGGTCTTCTAAAGGCGTCTAAGCATCATCCTACTTGATTCCTCTGGGTTTACATTAAACTCATTGCTAGAAGGCATTTTTTCAGTCACACAATGTAAGAACACTTCAGTATTTTGTGGCAGATAGAAGTTTGTAACATAAACCTCTGTGCACGCACGCACACCCTCCAGTACAAAATAAATGAAAACTGAAGGTTAGATGCAATAACTTCCATTACTTATGCGGACGTATCCATAACAACTAGTACTTACCTCAGTGCTTTCTGCTCAAGGATGATGAGCATATATATACACTGGTTTTTCTCATCAAGGCGTACTATATCCCCTGTGTTTTCATAAACCACTGTAATTGGAAATAGTCTGACAGAAGCCTTCCAAGTCTTCATCTTGGCACTAAATCTGGCTGCAAAGGGATTCTAGTCCTACGAAGCATTTGAAACTGTTTATCTCTCACTGCTGGTATTCAATGATTTGTTTGTATTTCTTCAGCGTCTCCACTAGGCCCATAAAAATCTCTGTAGTGCTTCAGCAGACGTTTTGCCAGGAACATGACAGTGAACTCAAACTGAGTGCTGCTTTTTGATTTTCAGGGTGGTAGTGGTGGTTTTGGGTGTTATCCTCCCCACCCACCCTGACCACTGTTTTGGTGGCTCCAAGCACTTGTAGATCATTGAATGTTTGCATACAGGCAGTGAAAAGGTTATATACGTTGACAAGACAGAATCTCTTGCATTTTCCCCTCAGTGTTGTACTTTACAGCTTGAGTTCTTTGTCTCTTTATTTACAATGGTACACTGTAAAGTATGACTGTCTTAATACTACTGGTAGTAATACAGGCAAATGGCATTTTGTTGTTGTTGAAACTGTGAAAAGTGTTTATGGCAAGATTTTTAAGTACAGTTATGCCCCACATCTCATTACAGATACTTGGCTGTACCAGCAAATCTAATGTAACATAAGGAATCTCACTGTATTTTATCCACAGCAAACAGATGAAGGGTTGAGGTGTGGTGTTAAGCAGTCTGTGGCTGAGCTGGAAATGGAACCTGTAGCCTTTGATCCTAGCCAGCGTAGAACATTCACTCTGTTATTTATGAAATAATACTTTGTGTGCAGTGTTTTTCCAGTTGCCTCATGACAGTTCTATTTCATCTTTGCTTTATATCTGGAGGAATGAAGCTGCTTCTTGTTACATGAAGATCTTGTACCTGGACAGAAGACAAGATTTAGAATGTCTTGGTTATGCTGGAGACCAGGACTGTGTCCAGACTTGCTGTAAAATGCAGAGAATGATACAATATTCTGTCATCTCCTAATCTGTTCAACAGAGTCCATGAAACTCTTGCATCTTTTCTCAGGGGCTCTCTCTTAGAAGTACATGGCATAGCTTGTTACTGTCTCCATGTCTACTATTCCAGACATTGTGCTAGCTAGTAGGCTCCCTTCTTGATTTATGTTGAGATTAAGACTTAAAGAAAAGTAACTGTGGTTCTTTTACTGATGACATCCATTCTGATTTCATAACATGCTCTTCTCACATTCAGAATTGAAGTCTCAATGAAAGCACTGAGCAACAATTGCAGCTATTAATCATTGTTAGCCAGAGAATTCAAGGATGCTTTAATGGTCATGGCAGATACCATGATGTTCCTTTACCTGTAGGTTTACTGTACAGCAGAGGTGGAATTTGCATAGAAAACACACGAGGGGAACTACAGCTGCTGTTGAGTTGCAGAAAAAGTAGTTACTTTCCTTTTCGGTAAATTAAGTGATCAGCTGGAGATTAAGAGGCATTTGACTTTATATGAGAAAAGAAACTGATTAGCAATGACCTTTTTCATGTCTGTGTGAGAAAGAGCTTGTGTGTGGATTCCCCAGACCTCTAGTTAGTGTGCTGATCCTTTTGACAAATACTGCAAACTGTATCCCTGCTGCTAACTTCACATGCATTAGCAGCAATGGGGAGAAGAAACCTGGAGGTTTCTTCAAACCAGGTTTTTGCCTTAATTCAGAAATGCCACATAGAATATAAAATGAAATATTTTCAAGAAACAGAATTAAAACCTTTTAAGAGCTGAATTTTTTCCTCATGGGTCTTGCTGGCTTGATCTGTTAATTAAGCAGTTCATACAGATCTTTTCCATCTCCTGTGAGAGAAACTGAATTTGAAGCAGCTATTTTACAGCTGTCTAGCCGTTTTCAGGAAAGCCTTGCTACTGCCTGCTGCTGTTCAAAGGTGCATTGAAAAGAATTTATGGTCTTGGTTCCTTTGCAGCTGGAGTGGCTTTTAATATTGTGAAACATGCTGATTTATAATCTTAGCTGGTAGTTGAAGAGGGAAGGCTATTTACTGCATGGACATGGAGAATGGACTATTGTCTTTCCAGCAGACACTACCTCAGGCTGCATCATCACCAGTGTAGTCTGCCTCCTGTCATTCACCTCTGTTCTCGTCCACTGATGGTTTAGACTGAGGTGTTAAAGCATGTTGTACCTTCCTGTACCCGCCTTGTGCAGCCCATTCTACCGGGGTTCTTTCTGTTGAAGTCAGATTGCAATGGGTTGTTGAAGTATTTGGGACTCATCCTTTATTGGAATGATGTGCCAGTACATGCCTTCCAGATCTGGAAGCTGGAAAGTGTTTATCCCAGTGATACAACAATAGAAAAATTTGTATTTTCTCTGTTCATACTGGAATTCTGCTTACCAAGGTAATACAGAGGGCATTTTTTGACAGCTGTCAGTCTGGTACATTTCTTTGTTACTGAACTTCGTAAAGTATTTTCCAAATATGTAAAGGACAAGAAGTTAGACCTAATTAGGAAAAGATTTACGCAAGGCTAATTATCTCATCAGATTGGCAAGCTTGGCTTCAGAGCTGATGCAGTGGAGAGCATCTAGTAGGGAGTCTCTGAAGCTTTTTATAGGTCAGCAAAATTGTAGGACTCTCGTTACCCCTTTCAAAACAAAAACAAAGCTTCAACCCCAGCATTTTACATCAGTACTTGGTATGGACAAATTTCAACTAGCAGTAAAAGAAATCTTCTTTAGATACTTTGTTTTGATTTCAACTCCCTTCCCCTCCCCAGAAGGAAGAAAGGCAGAAGTTATTAATGTTTCTGGCGTCAGGGGTGGTGCTGACATGGGAACCCTAGAAAAATATGCAGCTCTTTGTTAACGGGGCTTCTCTAGGCATCTTGTGTGCAGTTCATTGACAGACAATGCCAGTCTCCCACTGAGGTGGTTTGTTTAAGGTGTTTATTTCCATACTCTCTAATTCATGCCACCTTCCCCACAGTTGTCTGTCATAGAAGATGTTTGTCTTCATTTTGACTGGGCTATTAGGTAGTCTACTGACTGCAGTGAAAAGCTTTAGTTACAGTAAATTATGGAGGAGTTTCTAGGGATTTCTCTGCTTCTTACTGCAAATCAATACCACTCTGTAGAGCAAAGGGTGAGCACACTGACACTGCATTAAGGAATGAATATTAAAAGCTGCTAAAATCTGAACTGAATGGAGAGAGAGATATTTCACTTGCCCTTGGTAAATGTTTCAGAAAGAGGAACAGGGAATATAAAAGGCTTACTGGGTGGGGCAGGGAAAACGCCTTGAGGGAGAGGAGTATTCTTGCTGGTGGTCTTAATTTCTCTTGTAATCCAACCACTGTGCTTATTTACTCTACTGTTAGTCCTGAATAAAAAGAGTTCAAAACAACTTAAGTTAAATATTATGCACTAATCCTAGCAGGCATGCAGTTATATTGTCATGATGCTGATATGCAGGTGTCTGCTGAACCTGTAGAAAGGTGTTTTGGTTTATTTGTTTTTTTTGGGTTTGTTTTTTTGTTTTTTTTTTTTTTTTGGGGGGGGGGATGCCAAATGGATTCTTTTATTAGTTTGTTTAGAAACAGCAAACCAAACAAGCTGTTCCTCTGAACAAGTACCCTTTTAGTCGGCCATAGCTTTTTAAGTAAGTTTAAGTAAGTTTGATAGAAACATTTTAAAGAGTTTGGTTAAACTTTTAAGCTATTTCTTGAGAAGAGAGAAACAGATTACAAATGGGAAGCCATCTGCTGTTCCATGTAGGTAACAGACTTGGAAAGGCGATGTTACTTTTTTTCTGTTATGTACAGTTATAGTTGTAAAATGATTATCAAAATATGTTTTAAGAATAATTATTTTTAATGTTGAAAGTGTCTTTCTATAGAATGCTGGTCTTTTGGGGTCAAATTACTTCATTCTCCTTAGAGAATTTTAAAAATTACTCTGAACAATAAGTAACAGCACAGATGATTAAACATTGAGCTAAATTCACCAGTTTAAATTGTCATAAAACTCATCATCTACCAAGTGTTTTCATTTTATCATATCCCTTAAATAATTTTGATTAATGTATAATGTGCTTTTTATTTCATAATCAGATGTTGATCAGAGGAAGGAACAGTACAGAATAAAAATATTAGTATTTATTGCTGTAAAAATGGATGACGCTATCAACCTCTAACAGTTAACTGCTGTTTAGTAGTAATAGTAGAATTTAGAAGGTACTAAACTATTACTTCAGGAAGTAAACTTTTTTTGCAGCAATTAAATGTAAAACTAGCAGTTGGATTGTTTACAGAAACATGCATCTTTCCGTTGAGACACTAGGGAAATTATATATGTACTGTAGATACTCATGTATCATGATCTGAGAAGGCTTTGCTCAAGTTTTCAACATCACTGATGTCCCCCTTTCCCCCCTACCTATTTCCAAGTTCTTCTAATTACTTGTAACAAAACAACAACAACAACAAAAAAAACCAACAACAAAATAACTGATGGTTTACTGGTTCAACACTTTTATAACTGCATTACTACCTTTTGAAGTTGTACTGAGCTAGGAATGAGGGCATTGCTTGTCTGAATTATTACAGGACATCAGAAATGCACAATATTTCAAGCTCACCTGCAGAAACTGTTGAACAGATTTTCTTCATACAGCATTCCCTGCAAGGAGAAATTTTACTGTTTGTTTGAAATTCTCATTTGTATATTTTGTCTTATCCTAACTTATTTTAGAAATGTTTTTGACATAGCCAGGATATTTATTAGATCCCTTTATCATCTTAGATATTCTGAGCAGAAAATGAGCTTTGTCTGCCGAGAAGCCTTCCCGAGCTTGACTTACGTGAACTATGAGCACCGGTTTCAACTGTGCAGTGAGAAGTGCAGTCCCCTTCTGTTGCTTTGTATCACATGAAACGTGAAGAAAGTACAGACACTTCAGCTTATGTGAATTATCAGGCAAAACTGTGATAGCCAAAGCATGGAATGTTTTGTGAGCTTTTTTAGCGAACAGTCTTCATGTTGTCGTAATTGTAAATTATTTATGTATTGTTATTATAGTAACCTAACTTCATATCCATTGATGTGCCTATTTATTTGAATTCTGTGTACGGGTAGAGAGTTAGAATTTCAAAGGAATTGGTACTTACTGCATTTCCTTTGTGTTCGCCCTGAGAAATTCATTTTTATTTGTTAACACAGCATGATTTGCATTGGGATAATAAAGTAAAAACAGGATGTGTGAGAACATGCATTGGACTTAAAACATCATTGATTATTAAGCTCATTGATTTCCTCATCTCTACTCAATGTCATCATTTTTAGGCTTATCTGAATTTATTTTCTATTTTAAACTTATAATTCACTTTTTAAAATAATTTTTATTGCCCTGCCGTAACTTCTGGCTTTCAAACACATTGAGGCTTAGCTTAATTCAATCTGATTCAGGTTTTCTCTACATCTTAGCTACTGGAAGTAGGAGTGTCTCAGTGCCTTTTTGTTTTGAAGGGAATGACTGGAAAGAAATGGCTAAAGAGGAGTGACACACTTAGTATTTAAGCAGTGGATAACATTTTAAGTTGTAACAGGAATGTTTTAACGGTACTGAGTGGCAACAAGGCTGCTGCATGCCCCACTCCTGTGCAGGTGCACACCGTACCTGCCACGTTCATGAGGAAGCCATTTTGTGTGCCCTGCTTCAAAATGCTATGGCCAGCAGTCACAGAGCCAGGGCTTCCATGTGGCACTCGCAGTGCCCCGTGTTTCCGTTGCAGGCCCTCACGCTCTCAGTCACTTGCTCTGACTGACTGCTTTGGCTTCCCCTGTCAGGAACAAGGTATTTATTAAGTTGTTAAATGTGGTACCTCCCTACCATCTTTCCCCATCACCACTGGCATATAGAGTACCTGAGGGACTAAACGCCTGCCAGAAATAACACGGGAAAAATCGCGGCTGCCGCTGGTGCCTTGTGAAGAGGAAACTAGGTGCGAAACGGTTCGAACCCACCTCCTGTTACGGGAGGTGAAATAACGTCTTACCGTAGGGCCGCGGTTCCAGCTGCGCCCGCGAACGCAAATGGCGGCTGGCGGCCGAGCGGCGCCGGCGGCGGGGGCGCGTTCTCGGCGCCGCCAGGAGGGGGCGCGGCGGGCCCGGCTTTCCTCAGGGCAGCGGCGTCTGCCTTCAGCCGTGCAGTTCGAACGGCTCGGTCCCTCGGGCGGGCGGGGAGAGATGTGTTTATCCGTGCAGGCAGGAAAACGGGTGGTTTGCAAATACTGTGTTGAATCCTGTATACACTGACCCTCGGCTCTTCAACAACCCGCCCCGGCGGTATGGCTTTTCACTCTAAAGCTGAATATCTCATACGAGGCGTTGCTTTGCGTTTGTGTCTCCCTGTGAAGTAGTGGCCGCAGCTGCCTGTGTGGGAAGGGTGTTTCCTCTCACTGACTGGGGGGTAAAGAGTTAAAAGCGGCTTTCTCTCGGAGAGTTCCAGCTGTGCTCCGGTTCCGCTCGCTCCTGCCCCTGCGTATGACACACCAGGGTGAGTCAGCGTGTGGAAACCATCACTGGGCTTAATGATGAGGAAAAAGCCATTTGGCCACGCTGAAAACTTGGAAGTTTTCTTACCAAGGAAACTGGCACAGCAGAAAATGTCTTCTCAAATCCCTGTGCAAGCCTCAGTTCATGAGTGGTTGATCGATTGTTGTGTTGTATCAGTTCAGACCATCGTGGTGAGGCTGCACTGGCATGATCCGGTTTTGATAAAGCTGTGAGATCTCTTCCCTGCTCTGCAAACTGTTCTTTAGGACCTGGATTGAGGTAGCCAGATCATCGTGGTAGGCACCTGACCACTCACCACACTTGGCTTCCAGTGCATAGAGATACTGTAATTGACGTGGTAACTTCAGCACATGAAATAATCTATTTCACTTTACTAGTTCTCAAGATGAACTCTTTCAAGAACAGATGTCCAAGGTAGGAAAGTGCAGAGGTTCTGCTCCACTGTCAGTACTTAAGGGCAGACAAAATAGTCTTGTTACTCAAGGTTGATGGTTAACAGCACTTTTAAATACCAGTCTGTCATCCCGATGATTGAGTGTTAGACTTCTAAAAGGTGCAGTTTGGGATAACTTTTTTATTTAGGTTATTGTCAATTTGTTTGCAGAGAAGTAAATTTTTTCATCTCACAGTGTTAGGTTTGGTTTTCTGTTTTCAGTGATGATGTCTTCCTCTTAAAGGGAGACCCTCACACCTCACCCCACCCCTGCTCCCTGGAAGAAATATATCATATGAGTATGTGTGTGTTTCTTATTGCCTGAGGCGTAGGCTTGTTGCTGGATGTTTCATGCGTAGCACCAGTGACAAATGTGGGAGTTGCTCATAGTCTTGGATAAGGCATATTGGTGGTGAAATTATTTCCAGTGAAATAATAAAATTGTGTAAGACACAGTATATCCAAACGAATTTTGGAAAAGATATTTCAGGAGATAAAGGTTATCTTCTTACGCACCTGGCAGTGTGTAAGAACACAGCTGGTTCCCGCCCTTGCTCCACCGGGCATGGTTGCCATCTTCGGGAGGGAGCTTCTCTTGAGTAACCCTAAGTAATGGTGCCATTCCCTTCTTCCTTACAAGAAATTGCTTAGTTTTGTGCACTCCCTGTTCCTGTCAGCAGGAAGTGAAGGTTAAGAATCCAGTGTGTCTCCTACAAGACTGAGCAAAGTAGTAGCCCAGAAGATAAGCTTCTAAATAGCAATTCTAGTGACTCATAGGAAAAATATGTATTGTTTCTTTCTAATACAACCCTCCCTCAAAATGAAACGAGAATTCCCACAACCCATGTTTGCAGAGGAGTGACAACACAGTAAATAACTTACAGTAAAAAGCTTTCCTTTTTGATTCCTGGTAAAGATGAAGAGATTTAACTTGTGAAATACTAGCTGCACTGCGTATAGTGGTTCGTTTAGCATTTTCAGCCAAAATTAGAAGTGGCCTGTTTTCAGTGACATTTGAAAATTTAGTGCTATGTTGATAGTCTGAAATGGAGATCTTCTGACATTGCAAATGAAATATGTGCCACTGCAGTTCAGTTGTGGTTTAGCTGGCCATGGATTTGGGATATAATCATATTATTTTAACTCCTGGAGATCATTACTACTTTGGGAAATAAAACCCTCAAACATCGGAACTGTCAGGATATATATTTTGAACTTTTATTTAAAGTAATACTAGGTTTTGTTTGTTTTGGAATGTTTAGTCAGTTTTTCATTAGTAGAACTAGATGAGAACAAGGGTTTGAGTATTTGAGTAATAATAAAAAAGCAAAACACAAACCTATAAATTTTCCAGTTTTTTAACAGGAAAACTGGCTGTTTTGAAATAATTGCTTGCTTTATGCAAAACTGTTTATCCTAGATTATGGATTTAAGCATGTACTCACCTCACATGCTTGATTTGAAAAAGCACAGACTTGTGGTTCATGTAAAGATTGCTTTTTCTACTATTAGTTACCAAGCTTTGCCCCCAAAAGACCAAACCTCCCAATGGATTTACCCAAGCCAGGCCTGGGTAGGAACTCTGTAAACTCCCAATCAATCCAGTGCCAACTCCAAAAATTATTTGCTCATAATTTTGGCAAAATGCTGAATGCAAAATGAATGTTCCTCATTTTTCCTTTAAGCCGGCTTCTGAATGTAATGGGTAATGATGTGTGTGACCTTAGAGAGTGGAGCAATGTGTGAATTTTGGAAATGGAGGGTTTTGACTGAACACCTAGAAAATCTGCGTGCAGGGCTGGGTCTGTACTGGGAAGCACCTTCCAGCCCTTTTCCTCCTTTCTCTCCAGTCTGTCAGCACAGGACAAGAAACACGTTTTCCCCGACAGGCATCCTCACACGAGCTTGTGTCTGGGGGGATCACAGCGTCTGGGGGGATTGCAGCCATGTGGGCAGAGTGGTTTTTATTGGCGCTGTGTGTCGTCTGGGGAGGTGATACAATTATGTCAACAAGGGAAGTCCTTTTGATGTCCTCTTGTTGTGTCCCCGTTAGAGGGCTCTGTTAACATAGCTGTGATGTAACCACTGGTTTACTGGTGCACTGGGTGTAGTCAGGGCATAAAGTACTGATTAAAAAGGCCGTCGTGCTGGGATGTGTTGGGGCAGTGCTACATGCCATAAGGTAGTTTTATCATTGTTTCAGTATAGAATAATATCTCTCTTAATAATTTTGGGGACCTTCCCCAATTTGTGTGAATCAAAAGTGAGTGCCTTTCCACAGTGTATGATGTTTTAATACTCTCAGACAAAAGAAACATCATAGTGTGGTAAGGAATTAAAATACTCATTTCGTTATTGAAGTGGGATCATTTGAGAGATTACTGATAATATATATTATGCCCTATGTGCTTGACTTTTACGTGTGAATGGACTTTTTATTTTAACACTCTCCAGCAGCACCTCATGAGATTATTTTATTTCAGTTAAATGTTGGGAAATTCTGTGAAAATGGCATTCTAATTTTTCTCTGTTTCAAGCTTCATTAAGTATATCTGCACTTAGAAGTTTAATTCAAGATGTTAACATTCCAGATGCTTAAAAATTTAATGTATCTCAATTTAAAAAGTAAAATAAAAGTAGCAGCAGACTCTTTTTTTCTTCTTCTCCATGAGACCTTTCTGGCACTCTGCTGATCTCCTGTTGATTTGATTAATGGAAATTTTACCTATTGAAAGTAACCATTAATTATTGCATTGGTTGCAGCAGTAATTGTATGTTTCAAATAAAAACTAATTAACATAACAGGTGGAAAGGCATCATGGCACATGAAGTGTGCTTGCAGTTCACTACATCTGAAAGATCACAAGGCACCTTTTTGACATTTGTAGCTCTGCAGCCAGTTACCAGCAATTATGTTCCATTTGAATAGAAATTAGCTGATTTACAGCATTACTTTTTATATTGAGACATGAGCTAATGAGAATATTATGAGGGTGTCTGCAATCACAGTGTACAAGTAATACTCTCTTCATGAATTACGGTTATATCCTCCTACACAGCTCCCTGCTTCATAGTTGCTGCTGGAGTTTTAGTTGGGTTTTTGGAGGTGTGGGTACATGCGAGATGGCTTAAAAACTGGTTGATAGGTGCCATCTCTTCTGCCAGAGGCAACTGCAGGCTGTAGCTGATGGCCTGTTGTTTAGCTCTGCTGGGGGTCTGAGGAAACCCATGTGAACTGGGCTGTACCCCTTAATTTGCACTGCTTCTAATGAGACCAGAAAAGGCCACAGCTTGAATTTCTCTGCTGAGAGAGAGTGCTGGTTGTGCTGGTTTGACAGAGTGAGGGGGTTTGTGAAAGTGATGAGAATACAAGATGGCACACAGAGAGCTCTCACATCTTGTAAGCACAGGAAGGGATCTCTGATGTTGTTTGTCACAGCCTGCACATGGCCATCAGCTTCTCATTGAGAACACTTACAGTAAATGATCCTTTTATTTAAGTAAAGAATTTAACAAAATCTGCACATGGTTTACAGTACTGTAAATTGGTGTAAAGCAAAAAAGCAAGCTTTGGGGCAACCTCAGGCAAGTTCTGGTCAACCAGATTGTCCCACTGAGGAACAAAGGAACATACCAGTTGTTTGGATCTGTCCACTACCTCGTGGGTATCCTAGCAAGTTTGCTACCATCCAACCTTTGTTAATAAAGATTATTTTGGGAGCAGAGGAATGGAAAGGGTTTTTTTTTTTTCATTTCTGGCAAGGGAAATCTCTTCTTAAGGCAGTAAATTGACTGTAATAAGGACCACAAGTGTAGCAAAGTAATATATTTTCAAATAAACAGATGAAGGCATGACTAAGTTGATCAAGTGTTTGGTTTGAGAACTTCTGTTCTTATTTGTCTGTTGTATTATTTATATATGTGGCACTGGAAAGTTATACACACCCTCATTTTTCACTTTAATTGCCTATTTAAAGACAGCATGACAGATCCAGAGGTTGCTTTCAGCGTCTGAGGAGCACTGTGGTCACTTACTAGTGTG